AATCCTTCCTTTTTGGGATCAACATTTAATTTCCAAAAATTGCCGCCAAATTTGGGGGTAAAACAGTTTAAGGGATACAATAAATGTATTTCCTTAAGACCTATAATACAATTTTTAAAAAAATATGCATTTAAAGAAAAATATATAGTATAAGTATTTAAAAAGAATATTAACTGTATAGTTATTTATATTTTAAAATATTAATGCTTATTTTATTTTTTAAAAAAAAAGGTATAATTAAGTTAATTTTATATAAAATAATTGTTAAAAAAATCAAGTTTAAGTTTTTAATTAAAATTAAATTTTATTTGTATTTTAATTTAATAATATAAAAAATAAAATTTAATAAAATCAAAATTTTGTTTTAAAATTTTAGAATTTAATTTTTTTAATAATCCTTTTTTATTTATTTATAATAAAAATTAATTTTAAAAAAAATTTATATTTTAATAAATTAAACTTTATTACAATCAACCCTATCTAAATGCATCCTCTCTAATGCGTACACTATATATTTTCTTTTTAAATGCACGCTCTCATTCAGTTCTAAACATATAGAATTCATATAAAAATTTTCTTTAAATGTACACTTTCTTTAAATACACATTTTTTAAAATTTTCATAGTTCTAAGAGAATGCATTTAGAGAGGGTTAACTGTATTTATATTTATAAAAACAATATCAATAATATCAAATTTTAACATTAATTAATATTAAATAATATTGAATACTTTAATAATATCTTTTATAAATATAATATTAGAACATATATTTTAAGATTTAAAATTATATAATAGAATATAAAATATAATATAAACTTTTAATATTCCAAATTTTTTAATTTGTATTGTTCTTATTAAATAATAATCTTTGTTTAAAAAAAAAAATATTGTACATGCATATCAATATGAATTTTTAATATTTTAACAAATATTAAACAAGATTTTGCAAATATTAACCATTATCAAATAGTTACCTAAATCTTTTTATGGATTAATCAAAAAATTAGATTTATCCTTGAAACATTATTTATCACATGAACGTTTCGTTCTCATAATGAATTTAACGAGGCTTATTCATAATATCCCAAAAATGGATTTTTGATGTATGCTTAATGATTATGAACACCAAAATTTAAATATATGCATCATTCATTGATATTTATTCATATTTAATACACATTTAAGTTTTAAGCAACGTCGATACATACATCAAATTAAATGAAACATTGATATAATGGGAGGAAAGGAGAAAGTAAATTGAAAGAAACTCCGATCGACTTCCGATCCGTCCATCTGATGATATAAATGATGTTGATATAACCATATATATTTTTATTCTTTATTAATCACATTAATCTCGTGCATCTACTTTGGTAATAAATCAATTTAATAACCAAACATAAATCTGCAGCGGATTTTTTTTTTTTTTTTTTTTGCATCATCCTTGTCTCGCTCGGCTTTATGTATTTTAGGGCCGGCTTTTATGTAGGTCTTTTCGCTTTTGTTTTTTTATATTTGGTTGTATCTCGTCTTTGTTTACCTTCTTGCGTAAGGGATAATCTTCAAATCAGTAACGCCGAAACCCCTGCTTGCGTTTCAGGTTTTCCAAAAAAGTCTTGAGCCTTCTTATTTTCAATTAATGAATTCAAAAGAATTCGCTTATGTGACTTATTTTATATGCTTCCCTTTTGTCCTTTCTTTGGTGTCTAGCATAATTGCTTTTTTTTTTCCTTCATTGTCTAGTCAAAAATTTCTTCACCTAATCTTGTTTATATTTGAAAAAACGGCTCAACTTATTGTTTTTATTCTTAAAGCTATATTAGTTCAGTACATGTCTGATACCACAAACAACACAATGGTAACCTCAAAACACAATTCTATACCACATATTGCGTCAAGTCGATCGCTGACTCCTTCCAGCTCGGAGCGATCTGTGTATGAACTTTTTGAAATATTCAATAAGTTTGTGCCTACCTCTTTGTTCGCCTACATGTTGATCGCCATGGTAATCTTCCTCGCCTTAGCATTTGTATTTAAGGTATGCTATTACTATTCTTTTATTTACGATTGCATACAGGCTCGTGTTTATTTTTTTTTATATTATTTCGATTCGATTTGGTCTGATCTGATTTTTATCATTAAGGATCATTTAAGTAAATAGTTTTTCATATATATATATATATCTTTTTTAAGTAAAAAGATTTGAGGACTGGTCTATTATTTTATGATCTTTTTGAAATTTATATACTAACGAAATTTCTTTGAAAAAAATTTATTATTTAAGCCTAGATGGATTAGATTGCAGCTGAGCGAAAAATATAGATTGCACATGGCTGGACCCATGGTTGGCGACTTTAAAAAGGGGATATTAAGTACGAATGAAAAGGATAGTCGTTTATTACCTGACAAGTCATCTTCGTCCTCAACATCTTTATCACCATCTGTACTACCAACACATAATGCATCACCTGGATTATATAAAAAGACATCAAATTCTCACAGGCGTCCTAGTTCGCGCCAAAAAACTCAGCCAACAAATATACCTGCAAATTCACTTTCGCCAATAGATGATGATCTGTCTTCTACGGTTTCGAGTATTGATTCACTTATTGAACAATCTTCAACGTTTACAGAACAAGATGAGATAAAAACGAGTGTGACGATACATGTTGCTGATACATTAAATTCACGTACTATTCCATCTTCCGCTGACGCTTGTCAAGTTAATAAGGACAAAATCGGTAATAATGTTATTGATCCAAATTCTGGTAAAATCGAACATACAATTGAAAAATTAGAGACGGATCAAGGTTTTATTCAAGATGATAATATTAGTTCTTGGACTGAATCACAAAGTACTCCAACGGCGATTTCAAATAGAGATGATAAAAGTAGACGTCAAACCGCAGATGTTACATTTTCAGATTCATCTTTGCCATCTAAGTTACAAAAAAAGAATTCTAATTCACCTATTAAGGGATATCGCAAACAAAATGCCCGTAATAAAGAGCAAATTATTGTCTCAACAGCTCAAGAAAGCGATGGAGATATTGATAGTAGTACTATTTCAGATGATCATTCTGATCAAAGCTTGATTCAACAGACTGTACCTGTCGTACAGAAGCATATGCAATGTTCCACTCAAGAAGAAACCTTCGTTAAAACTGGACATAGAAGACGCAGGAGAAGGACAAGAGGTTCTAAGAATAATCAACAAAAAGCACAGCAAAACCAACAAACACAAAATTCAGATCAACGTTCCTTAAAGCAGGAGCAATCGATATCTTCGCAAAAACGAGATATTTCCTCAGAGATGTCTAAATCACGTCATGTAAGTGAATGATTTTGATTATGTATAATTATTATTTTTCCATCATACGTTTATTAAATATTTACTCAAAACAGCATCATTCGAATGAGATACCGAGGTCTCGTCAGGTCGTTGAAAAATCTAAAACGGTGGATTATGACATTTGGGAAAGACATTCTCATCAACATACCGAATCTTATCAATCATCGCGCTCAGATCAAACAGCTCACTTATTACAATCTAACAAACGCGATGGCCAAACATATCATCTTGAAACCCTGAATGGTACTGCTATGCCAGCAAAAGCTACGCTCTCCGAATCAAATAGGAAAAGTGCAGGTTTCTCAAGGTCGGATGTACATTGGAAGCAAAATGTCATAACGGCACCATCTGTTTCTTCTTCCAATGTTCCTATATCGCGTTTTACAACCTATGCTGATGTGATTGCGCCTCAAAATCGACCATCCGTAATCACTAATGGACCTACTCGTTCTAATACCTCGAGATTATCTAACGAAAATGGTATCATGACACCGGTGCCTGCAGCTTCTATGAATAACACAATCAACTCCCAATGGTATTCTCCTTTCGTATCTGGTCTTTCAATCCAACTAACTCCACCAGCGTCTCCTCAGAACATGCATCGTCAATTGCCTCATACAAATACATCAAATTCTATCTTTTCTTCCATGTATTCTTCTAAGCAATCTCAAGATCGTAACCGAAATGTGATTGCACCGCCGCCACCAATATCTGCACCAAATGGTGTATCTTCACTTTCTTCATCTCCATCCTCTTCATTATCAATATTCTCCTCACATCCTTTTTCTTCACTTTCCAACTCATTTTCCAATCAGAACCAAGGTAATGTTATTACATCACCTATCAATTCATCATTTAGAGAATCAATTTTTGGAAGAAAACATCCTGTTCAGGATCAAGAGAAAGGTGAATTATCTGATGATGCAGATGATTCTGAATGTTGGAATAAAATAACGGGAATATCAGATTTGAACAACCAGAGGAATACGTGGGTAGGACAAAATAGACCTGCTTCGCTTATTAGAAAAGGAAAATTTGGCGAAGAAACAAAAAATGAGAGTATCAGCGAAAATGTATGGCATCATGAGCAGCAGCAGTCTCAACAGCAATTTTCGTTATTTGATAAGCGATTATCTTTCATGTATCCACCCAAATCTTAAGCATGATAAAAGTGTTTAGATTTGATAGTTATTGACGAAAGTTATCTGAGGTCGGAAGTTATATTAACGAGAATCATGGGGCAATCTGGGTTAATTTATTTAACCTGGAAGATTAATCGAATTCTTTTAAAAAAAAAAAAAAAAAATTTCTTCTTACGATAAAAAATCCTAACTAGAATTGTTTTTTGCCACTATATTAACTAGAAATTTTGGCGGTCGAAAAAAAAAAAAAAATTTTTTTTTTTTTTTTTGATCATTGTAAAGATTATTATAAGTAAAAAAAAATTTTATTTTGCTGTATATTTCAAACAAAAAAAAAAAAAACAAAAATATAAACAAAATTTATCATATTTGTAAAGTCAAATAATTTTTTACTTAGTATTTTGCAACCTATTTAATGATGTGTACTGTAGTTAAACCAAATGTCTATGCTCTATTTCAATTATTTCCTTTTCAAATTTATGCAATTGTTGTATAAATCCAAAATTTGGCCTTGCAATTCGTCGTTTTTCTTTAACTAAATCTAATGCTTGTTTATAAGATATTTTTTGTGAACTCATCAAGTAAGCGATTACAATCGTTACGGATCGACTTATTCCTGCTTGGCAATGAATATAGACGCGACCATTTGTTGACTTAGCATTTTCAATGAAACCAATACATTCACCAAAATGTTTGTATATGTTGGATGATGGATCATCCGCGATATCTATTTTGAGATATTTGGGAGGTAAAAAATCATTATCATCTATATCTTCCAAATTATCGACAATTTCTTCACTTCTATTCGATGGATCATTATCTTTTTCCAAAAAAAATTGTTTAACTTTATTTATAAATTTTAGTTCTTCGGATACTTCAGAAGAATGTTGATTATGGGCTATAGATAAATTCTTGTATATATTTTCTTTTGTTTCCCAAAAATTCGAACACCCCGAAAGGTTGATAACATGAGTTATTTTATTTGATACAAAATGTGGAAACCAACAAGCAGTCTTTGCATCTCCTAAATAAAGGAATTCAGGAATGATAATAGTAGGTTTTTTACTATTTTCTGCTTCTGCTAGAGTTACTAAATTTAATAAACTTATACGAACTTTTTTAGATTTTGAAGGTTCTTTACTTTGGTTTTCCATTTATTCTTATGTGTATGCTAGAAAATTTGCACATGCATATATTTTTTTTGTGCAAATTAATCACGTGATAAAAATATTTATTATTTCCAAAAATAATATGCGGATTTCCCAAAATATCTATATTCGAATTTTAGTTTAGTTAATCTACGTTGAGACAAGATGCGTTCTCCTAAGGGGGAGGGGGTTCACCTAGGATGACATTACTATATGATTTCCTTATTTAAAAATAATAAAAATGATGACGGGAGAGGGGGAGGGGGAAGGGGGTCAAAATCCTTAAAATCAAAATGGCGTAATTTCTGGACCCTCCTCCTAAGGGAATAACAAATAAGTAAAAACCATTTGAAAATTCATTACAAAATTCATTACAAAATTATGGTTTTGTAAATAAAATTTCCATTAATTTTGTTTACCAATTAATGTTAAATTAATTTTATATTTTTTTTTTTTGTTTCGTTATCAATCAAATTATAGAAATGCTGAAATTGAAATATTGGCCAATTTCTATGGTAATGATCTTTGACTAAAAATTTTTATTGCATTATATAAATCATATATATATATTGGCAAATGATATTTTAAACATTGACTTATTGCTATTGTTAAATGGAATAACTTTTGAACTAATGATCAATATTTCGATGGAAATAGTATCATTAGAACCGTCTTGACGA